CCCAGCCAATTAGAAAAAGGAAGCCTCAGCTAAGCTGAGGTGTGTACATTGGAAAGAGCCATTGCACATGTGCAGAAGACAGCTTCAGTGAACTGGCGTTTGGAATGGGGAAGCCAATGAGGTGAGGTGCCTCAGGCGAAGACATTTTTTACCCCTCTCCAGTGTGTACAGCAATGTAAGAAAGTGGATTGACAGGGGGAAATGACCTCACTGCGTTTCAAGCCACTAATGCGTACGTGGCCTCAGTTTAAGCAAATAAGAGCTGTGGCTTGGTAAAAGGCAACCGATATAGATTTTGTCATATTAGAGAGTTTAGAATGTTCATAAATATTAATAAATATGTATCAGATCTGAGGGCACAAGATTAGACTGTGATGAACATGTTCCCATCAGTCCCATCAGGACTGTAGAAACCACTCAATATTTTTTGGTGCCCTATTTTGTTTTGATGTGCCATCTCCCCCCCTCCCCCCAATGACAACTAGGGGTCTCAAAAGTTGGGCCTCTGCGAATGTCTGAGAAGGCCTGTTCTTTAGTGGTGGCTGTTGCCCATCGCAAGGGACAAAGTAACACTTTTAGAAGCCAATAGCACTGAAAAGATCATGGTGCCCCACATGTAATTCAAACAAACAAACATCTTACACAATATACACTATTTTTATGTGTGTGCGCGCGCGCATGTGTGCATGTGTATGAATCAATCAAATACAGTGGTACCTTGGGTTAAGTACTTAATTCGTTCCGGAGGTCTGTTCTTAACCTGAAACTGTTCTTAACCTGAAGCACCACTTTAGCTAATGGGGCCTCCTGCTGCCGCTGCGCCACCGGAGCACAATTTCTGTTCTCATCCTGAAGCAAAGTTCTTAACCTGAAGCACTATTTCTGGGTTAGCGGAGTCTGTAACCTGAAGCGTATGTAACCTAAAGTGTATGTAACCAGAGGTACCACTGTACATATAACTCAGAATAATATATCAATAATAAAAGCCTAGATTTATTGCAGCACATGACAAGTTTGGATTTATTAGCAATACTTCAGTCTATGTTAGTAGGACACCTCCTGGTTTAGTTCAGGATCAACAGCACTATATATTCCAGAAAGCAGTTTATCTGACTGTCCATTTGCTTGTTCTCTACATGTTCAGACACCTCCTGAGATCTCATCACCAAACTCAGCATGCTGCTTTCCGAGGTGGCAGTCTTCCTCAATGTTTAAGTGCCAGGTGCAATTTTGAATCAAGATGGCACACTGAAATGGAACTTTGGCTTGTCTTTGCCTATTTTTTGGCATAGGTTCAACCATCCCTTGATATATCAATATCGCCAAACTTTGCACAAAAGATTCCTAAGATGGGGGCAGAAGTTTTCATCGGCGCTTGGATCCCACACACCATTTTGAATCAAGAAGACAGACCAAAACACGACTTCCGGTTTACTCCACCCAGTTTTTGGCGTGATGGGTCCAAATGTACAAACTGCACTACAGTGGTACCTCGGGTTACATACGCTTCAGGTTACAGACGCTTCAGGTTACAGACTCCGCTAACCCAGAAATATTACCTCGTGTTAAGAACTTTGCTTTAGGATGAGAACAGAAATTCTCATGTGGCAGCAGGAGGCCCCATTAGCTAAAGTGGTGCTTCAGGTTAAGAACAGTTTCAGGTTAAGAACAGGCCTCCGGAACGAATTATTGTAAGTTCTTAACCCGAGGTACCACTGTATTTATTTAAAAACTGCAATATTATTTGGTTTCTAAAAATACCTGGGCAGCACATGGCACTCCTCACTACTAAGTAATAAAAACAGAACAGAAAAATAGAGGAAGAGTGTGTAGTAAGTTCTGATTTTCCCTATGATTACTATTTCCATGCTTAAAAGCACAGAAATAGCACCTATTTAGCCTGCCTATTGGGTATTCTCTAGGGACGTGGGTGGCGCTGTGGGTAAAAGCCTCAGCGCCTAGGGCTTGCCGATCGAAAGGTCGGCGGTTCGAATCCCCGCGGCGGGGTGCGCTCCCGTTGCTCAGTCCCAGCGCCTGCCAACCCAGCAGTTCGAAAGCACCCCCGGGTGCAAGTAGATAAATAGGGACCGCTTACTGGCGGGAAGGTAAACGGCGTTTCCGTGTGCTGCGCTGGCTCACCAGATGCAGCTTCGTCACGCTGGCCACGTGACCAGGAAGTGTCTCTGGACAGCGCTGGCCCCCAGCCTCTTAAGTGAGATGGGCGCACAACCCTAGAGTCTGTCAAGACTGGCCCGTACGGGCAGGGGTACCTTTACCTTTACCTTTATTGGGTATTCTAGCACTGACCGGTAGGGCAAAGGTGAAGCCAGAGCCAATGAGAGGCAAGCCAATGGATTATATTTTTGTCCCCATCACCTACTGAGTTCTACTTGCTACTTGCTAGGAAGTAAAGCTTATTTCATGTGATGGGGATAAGCTGGAAGTGCAACAGTTGGGATCATTCCTTTTGTAATTGAAGGGTTAATTAACCAAGGGGTTGGTGATGCCTGGAGCTGTTTGCAGGAAGCTTGAAGGACTCTCCAATAAGCAGGAGGGAACCGAGGAAACAATCGTGGTCATTCGTATGCCTTATTGGCACAAGCAGCAAACACACACCCTGGAGGAAAGGGGTCAAGTTCACTGCATGTACGGCGTTAAAGGAAAATATTATGAAAATGATGTATAGATGGCACTTAACTCCTGTAAAATTAGCAAAGATATATCATAATAGTGATCATCTATGTTGGAAATGTAAAGGAAAAGAGGGTACCTTTTATCATATGTGGTGGACCTGCCCCAAGGTGAAAGACTTATGGGAGAAGATTTATAATGAATTGAAGAAAATGTTGAAATATACATTTATTAAGAAACCAGAGGCCTTTCTTCTTGGAATAATAGGTTTGGAATGGCCCAAAAAAGATGTTAGATTGTTTTTGTATGCCACAACTGCAGCTAGAATTTTGTTAGCTAAGAATTGGAAATCACAAGAAGTCCCAACAGTGGAGGAACGGCAGATGAAGATGATGGACTTTTCGGAGCTAGCCGACCTGACTGGAAGAGTCGGCGACCAGGAGGAGGAGGAGTACCAGGAGGAATGGATGAAATTCAAAGACTATTTAGTTAAATATGCTAAGATAACTTAATTGGAAAAACTTGCAAATATCAGATAAGCTTAGGATTTAATTATGTGATGTTAGAGAATAATATGTTTAAAGTCAAAATGAAAACAAAGTAAGATGTTAAGTGATTAAGTTAATTTTATGAGAAAATTGGTTTTGGAAAACTGTTACAATGATATACACTGAAATTCAGCCAGGGGGGTTTGAGGAAGTCACTTAACAATGTTACGAAGATTGGATGAAGTACAGTTAAGATGGATGGATAGATGGATGGATGTTTAAATTTTTTGGAAAACCAATAAATTTTTTTGAAAAAAAGAAAAAGCAGCAAACACGCACCCTAGAAAGAGAACACAGACATAGAGAACCTCCTGGTGCCTCCACCAACTTATCAGCTTAGATGAGAACATGCATGGGCAGTGGCTTCCAAACTTTCAGCTTTGGGGGTAATGCTTTTCACATCAGCTTTGCAAAGGGTTCTGGGGCACATTGTCCGCAGGGAGCATTGGCCAGGCCAGCAGGGCAATGTTGCTGCCCTCTTTGGAGAGCCTACCTTATAACAGACCCATTATCACGAACAGCTTTCTTACAAAAAAAATTCCTTCCAGTAGCACCTTAAAGACCAACTAGGTTAGTTCTTGGTATGAGCTTTCGTGTGCATGCACACTTCTTCAGATACCTGAAGAAAGCTCATACCAAGAACTAACTTAGTTGGTCTTTAAGGTGCTACTGGAAGGGAATTTTTTTGTTTTGACTATGCAGAGCAACACGGCTACCCTATCTGTAACTGAGCTTCTTACAGAAGGATTCCTCAGGTTTCTGTAGTGTTAAATACCAACTTAGACTTTTTATTATTAAGAAGCAACAACACTGCCACCTGGTGTACAATAGGGAAATACTTCCTGGTGGAACAAAAACTTAAGCACCCCTTAATTTCAGACTAAGTGGCAATTCAGACGACTACGCATCCTGATTTGCTTGCACAAAGCTTAGGCAGAGGTTAGGTTATATCCAGTCTTTATTGAGCATTTTTCCTGATTTGTTTGCAAGGAAGGTCAGTCGACACTGAGCGTTCATCCTGATTTGCTTGCAGGCTGTTTACACGCCTTCCCACACTTTCCCACGGTCACATGCAGAGGCGTAAACTGTTACGGAGTTGCGAGCTCTGTTGAGCGCACGAAGACTTCCTGCGCAATCGTGTCTGCTCAAAAATGACTGAGTCCAGCGGTGCTTATTGGGGCAGCAGCGAAAATGCAAAGGTACCAAGTGTTAGCGGAGGAGAACAAGGCGATTGCTTAATTACGGAAGCCAGTGATTGTTGCCAAGATGGTACAAAATATATATCTGCACAGAAATCGCGACTGCATATAAAAGCAGCAAAAATACAATTATACCACTAAATCAGTGGCAAACCTGCAAGCCCTCTCGACCGCGGCAGGACTCGAACCTGCAATCTTCTGATCCGAAGTCAGACGCCTTATCCATTAGGCCACGCGGCCGCGCTGAGTACACGGTCTCCGCTAGACCTATAGGAACTTGAGAAGCCGGGAGCTGGTTCTGAACCATCCCGGGAGATACCATTTCCTAGCGAGTGTCAAGGGGGGAGAGGGAGGATAGAAAGTGGGGTTGGGTAGGAAACAAAACCAGCACAGCCTCTGTCCGAGGCAAACTCATTGCTTTCTCTTTCTTCTGCTTGTCCTCTCAATATTTGAGCTGTGTTTAAGACGAGAAAAGACACTTTGGTAGCTTCCATATAATAATTCCCCACCCCCGTGTCGGGCGAGCTCACTGCAGTGGCGCGCCGGCGGAAGGTTCGCCTCGTGAGCTCTGGGGCGGGGCGGAATTTGGGGTCGTGGGCAAAAACCACCTCATGGTGTTTTGGGTGCTTCGTGTACCCACGAAAGGGGGCGGGCGGTGGGGGCTGCTGGTGGTGGTGCTGTATAGCTTCTCCCCCCTACCACCACCCCATTTTTTGTGAGGAGGGGCAGCCTTTTGGGGGGGAGGGGGTAAAATAGTCCAATATAGGGAAGGAGATAATTTGTGGGCGCCCCTTTTGGGTTGGGGTGCTGGTGAGGAGAATAAATATTAGCTCCTTTGGGTGGCATGGAATGGAAAAGAAGCTAAACTGAGGGGGGTAGGTAAATTTTGAGATAATCTGTAGATATATCTCTTTTTCCCTTTTTCTTTTTTGGAAGGGGGGGGGAATTTGGGAATCAGAAATATTTTCTTATGCTCTCTGGACGTTTGGTGTCCAAAGTGTTGGTGGTGCTGTTTTTATTGTGTTTTTAATATTCAGTCAGGAGCCACCCAGAGTGGCTGGAGGGCCATCCAGTTAGATGGGTGGCATATAAATACTAAAATTATTGTTATCATCATCTCAAGAAGACAAGTATGATCATCATTGTTTTCATAGACTTGTAGGGTTGGAAGGGGCTGCTCTTAGCAGTCACAGATATTATGGACTGCTTTTCAATTTCACCCTCCAGAGGGCTTGGGACACCCATACAGTGGTGCCTCGCAAGACAAAATTAATCTGTTCCGTGAGTCTCTTCGTTTTGCAGTTTTTTCGTCTTGCGAAGCACGGCTATTAGCGGCTATTAGCGGCTTTAAGAAAAAGGAAACAAACTCGCAAGAACTCGCAAGACGTTTCGTCTTGCGAAGCAAGCCCATAGGGAAATTCGTCTTGCGGAACGACTCAAAAAACGGAAAACCCTTTCGTCTAGCGAGTTTTTCGTCTTGCGAGGCATTCGTCTTGCGGGGCACCACTGTATTTATTTACGTGGCACATAGTTAAAACTAGGGAGCTCTCTCCCACAGAAGGTAGTGATAGCCACCAACTTGGTTGGCTTTACAACAGGATGAGACAAATTCATGGCGGCTCTCCAGGGCTAGTGGCCATGATGGCTATGCTCTGCCTCCACAGCTGGAGAAAACAATGCTTCTGAGCACCAGTCCCTGGGGGTGGGGGGGGTGCTCTAGTGCTTGCTTCCAGCTTGTGGCCTTCCCAGAAACATCTGGCTGGCCATTTTGAGAACAGGATTCTGGGCTAGATTGGCAGTTGCCCTGATCCAGCAGGCTCATCTTCCATTCCTATACATATCTTCATTTACCCTCACAACAACCTTGGGAAGTCAGTCTGACTGAAAGATAGTGATTTGACCAAAGTCATTTTGCAAGTTTTGTGGATGAGCGAGGTTTTGAATCCTTTGTCTGAATCTGGAACACTTGTCTAGGCGCTTCACAACTTAAACACTATGTTCCCAGCATCTTGGGCAGGAAGAGGGAAAAAATTCCACACTAAACCTCAGTTTTGTTAATACTTTTTGTCTCCTGATAGATCTTCTGTATCCTCCATGCTGCTCATTTCTAGTGAAGATGAAGCGCTTGGTGTGGAATACAGGTCCATTCGGATTACGGGGAATACAGAGATGGTCCTCGGGTTCTTCTGCCAGCCGCCTGGTTCAGGAGGAGATGGCACAAGATTCTGGTTCTGTCCCCAAACAACAACGCATCAATCCACTTGGCATCCAGATGCTTTCGAAGCATCTTCATGAGCAGATTTTCCGGGGTGCCCAGATTGAATATTCAGAGGAAGACATCCAGAAGAGTGTGGCGCACTTGCAGAAGCATGACTTGTGGGGCAAAGAGACAACTACTCTTCCTGATGTGGAATTGCAGCTGCCCCAGTTGTATGGGGCCAACATCGATGAGCATTTCCGTATCTTAGCACAGAAGCAGAGCCTCCCATATCTGGAGGCTGCTAAGGAACTTCTCCAATTTGGGATCCCACCAGTGCCCCTGGAGTGGGCTTGGAAATCTGGGTGGACACGATATGGACCCAGTGGGGAGAAGACAGCTGTTGATTTCCCTGATGAGCGGGCCTTGGTGTTTGATGTGGAAGTGTGCATGAATGCAGGCCAATGCCCTACGCTTGCAGTAGCCGTTTCCTCAAATGCCTGGTAAGATGCCGACAGCTCTGGTAAAAGGGTGAAAGTTTTTGTTCCTACAAACTTTGTGTAAAAATAGAACCTATTAGGCAACAACAACATGACCTAGTCAGTGTCCCACTGCTTCTGTCCCCAGTGTCCCAAAATACTTTTTTCATTGCTCATTGTTTTATTCCTATATACCACTTTTTGGCCAAAGGCCCCTGATCAATCAGCATCTCACATCTTTCTAAGAGACCACTTCTTCCTGTTCTTATTCAGTTCCAGGTCTCATACCATAGGACAAGGCTGGGGAGCCTCAGTTCCATGCAGCCCTCTAGGTCTCTTTCTGGTCCTTGAAGGCTACACTGCTCCCTGGCCCTGCTTCATATCCCCCCCCTTTTTTTTTTTGAATGATTGAAATGTGTCCTTGCACTTTGATAATGTTTCTTGCTTTCCTGTAATTAGCTTATGGTACATAAGTACAATTTGTATTTGTTACTCTGCCAGTGTTTGCCTTTGGTTCCACCCACCACTGGAATGTGGCCCTCAGAAGTTTGTCCAGAGAGAAATGTGGCCCTTGGGCTGAAATCCCCCTCCCGCTTATACATCATGCTGCTATCTTTTCTTCTGGGGTTCTGTTGTTGAAAGAGTGCCAGAAGAGAATAAATGTTTCCACCTAGAGTTTCCTGGGCTTCTGTAAAAGAGCAAGAACAAGAAACTGTGCTTATGAAGAGACAATTGATGTTGTTCTGGGGGAGGGGGTTGTGTAACCTTCCTTTATATATTTGGAGGAAGCCCTCTTTGTTGACTCACAAAATTCCTAACCAGATGTGTGGGTTGTGCACAGATGCTGTGGGACGGTCAGAGACGTGTTAAATTAGAACACTGGAACTCTCACCTCCTAAACTTCTTCAAAGCAAAGTGAGAATTGGAAAAGGGGCTGTATTTTCCTTGTTTCCTTGAACTTC